AATGATATCTGTAAATGCCATTTACTTGGCAAAGTAATAGCTAAAATTCATGTGATTGAATTTCAGAAACACAGACTGCCTCACGCTCACATATTATTGATATTAGATAGTGAGTCCAAATTATGTTCCTCTAATTAATTCCCTTTCAATGTGTACGAATTTTGTGCACCAGGCCACTAGTATAATAAATAAATCTCTACCCATTTCATAGAACAAAATAAAAATGAACAGAACTTTCTATTATATTATTTCAATGAAAGAAGCATACTAGAATGCAAGACTGCATTTTTAACGCAAATAATATTAAAGCAAGTTTTATCTTATCAGTAGTAAAAATTAATGATTATCTAATGAGCAATAAATGTATGATGAATGTTTAACACCTCAGAAAAAGAAAAGTAAATTCTTTCAATCCTAATAGAGTGTTCTGTCATTGATATGAGCCTGAAGTGAGAAAAGTCAAATGATCTAATAAGATGAAAATATCAAGGCAAAAGGCTGTTAAAAGACAAAGAGAATGAGAATCCATAGTGATTATCTACATTACTGAGGATTAGAGATTCAATAGTTACCTGAGTATATCAATGATAATTAGAAATATTTCTAATAAAGTGATAATGGGAACGTCAATCTTATATTTTCTAACAAAACATTAGAAGAAATAGGACACTTAATGGCTAAAAACTGAATTCTTCATATGATCCCAATTCCATTGCCCTGGCTGGTGTGGCTCAGTAAGTTAGAGTGTCATCGAAAAGGTGATCGGTTTGATTCTCAGTCAGGGCACATACACAGGGTTCCTTTTGATTCCTGGTTGGAGGAATTTGGGAGAAAGTTGACCAAGATTCTTCTCTCTCTCTCTCTCTATCTCTCTCTCTCTCTCTCTCTCTCTCTCACACACACACACACACACACACACACACACACTTTCTTCTCTGTAAAACTCAATTAAAAGTTTTGAGTCACCTTGATCTTTTAATTGTATCATGGCATTTCACTAACATTGTTCTTTTAAAGAATATTCAAAATACACAATATTCATTTAAATTGTCAATGAGATAAAGTGGATTTTCTAAAAATTAACTTAGCCCTAGCTGTTTTGGATCAGTGGATAGAGGTTCAGCCTGCAGACTGAAGGGTCCCGGGTTCAATTCAGGTCAAGGGCACATGCCCAGTGCGGGTGGGGGCGTGCAGGAGGCAGCCAATCAACGGTTCTCTCTCATCATTGATTTTTCTATCTCTCCCTCTGCCTTCCTCTCTGAAATCAATACAAATGTTTTTTAAAACAAAATAAATTAAAATTTTAACTTAGACTTCAAAAAAGAGAGAACCTACAGCACTCACCTGCTCAAAATGGTTTGACCCGGTCTCCTGCCTTTCCGCTCCATCTTCTTTATGCGGACCCGGAGGAAGACTGGGGCTGAAGGCCATGAGGTCCGTCTTGGGCGGTCCCTCCCCAGAGCACACCCTCTGCCGCCTCTGCTGGGAGTACGACCAGCTCCCCACGGCGCTGGAGCACACCAGCACGGGCTTCCCCGGCCCGCACGCACCCTCC